TACATAGCCACATACTAAATTTAAAACAACGATAATTCGAAATCATACTGAGGAGTTCGTAAACTATCAAGCTACATTAACTTTACCACTTCATTAACATAGATTATGACAATGACAATGAGTTTCTTATTTGAAGTATTCACAAAATGACCAAATAAGCGAAGAAATCTACATGTCCTCAACAACGGACAGAGAAGATATCTCACTACCATCGTCGTTGTCGAAGCTTATGATGATGACATCTCCCATGATATCGGGACTTGGTCCAACATTGTCCACCAACTCGTCAACATACTGAATCCTAAACAAAAGATGGTGTTTGTTCGATGGGATTTCAATCGGGATGATCTCACAATCGGCAATAAAATCATGAACTCTACATTCGCTCGGCTCATCTTCGTTTCCTAAATCGAGAAATAGAATTGAATGAAGACTCACCCAACAGTGGCGGCTCCTCGGTTGAGGAATGTAGGGAACAACGACATGCATTTGTTCATCGTCTTTTGAGTCATTAATGATTAGATTCGTATCACATCACCTTCTGGTGAACAATCTTATATTTTAGTTGACTGAACAACAAGACTATCCAAAACGGGGTTTGCTAAATCTTTCAAAACAACCAAATTAGCAAAGTATGGCTGCAATTCTTCTTCAGTAGTAGCACACAGCGTCAACCACAATGTGGAATAAATAGAAATGAAATAAATAAGGACACATCTATACCTAAATAGTAAGAGGGAATACATACAATGTATAAGACATCTTTTCACACGTTGACTTTTACCATGTCTACCTTTATCCCACATCCATGTAGCAGTGATTCGATGAGAAATTTAAAACATATTGTTCCCTATGGATAGGCATTGAAGAAATCCAAGTCGTCTATGATAGAGAGAGTTTCAGGATGTATCCCTATATTTCGATAACTTGAGTTGAATACCTCTTCAATAATTAACGCTACACAAGCTTGTAATGATCATTAAGGTTGGCACATTTCAAGAAAACCTTATCCAGGTCGCTACAAGCTACTCGATCTGTATTGTAAACATTTTGTCCCGTAGCTAGATTTTCTCTAGGATTTTGTCGGAAGCGAACCCTTTAGGTACTTGACCACACTTCAAGCTGGTGATTAATGTGAACTCCGATCTATTTACCATTTCATGAATTAATTGCACCGATAGTTTGAGCTTCGGCAACTTCCCAATATGTCATATGCAACTGTCCTAGAACATGCTCTTTTGTTGTGCATCGAATTTCTCGAGGACAACTTAATGTATCTTATGTTGCCAACTTGTGAAATTTGAGCAGGAACTCGCTCTTCCTCTGAAATTTTATATCTATGTAAGGAAGTCATCTACAAATAACAAAAGCAAACAATACGAAAACCTACTAAGTAAATAAAATGACCTAAGAAACATATAAAACCACTCAACCATGGAAAATGGCTGCTATCTAATCAAATAGGTGCCCATAAACTGATGCCTACAGATTCAACAAAATGTAAGAATTTAAAATTCTAACTATTTATAAAAACCTGTTAAAGGCACACGGAACATATTGACATATCATTGCAGTAATGAAGTAGTCCCCACTACAAAAGCAAATCACAAGTTGACCGCATTAACGATTGAAATTATACATATCTCAACGTAACAATAATTTGTTATGCTATCCCTTTTTAAAATAGTAAATACAATATACCAAAGATAAAAACTTAACAAAAGTTTTGAAGCCCAATGCTTCGAATTTTCCCTCTAGCATTATGCTATCCACCTTCAAGATAGTAAATACAATACACCCAATATAAAAGTATTCATAGAATAAAATATTCTAATCTTGAATACATTTAGAAAGTTATTATGCTATCCACTTTTAAGATAGTAAATACAATACACCAAATATAACAGTATTCATAGAATAAGATATTCTAATCTTGAATACATTTAAAAAGTTATGAAACTATTAAAATAAATTTCACATTTGAAACCCTTCAAAACTTGAAGTTCCTAAGATGATATAATTTACATGGATTTTATACCGTCTAGATTTTAGTGACTTTGAAGAAGTATTCTCCAACCAATCAATATGAATTTGTAGAATAAGCTATTTTATATTAAGGATATACTCCATGTCTCCATCCAATAAATTACATAAAAAACCTTACTTTTTTCGTTTTGAAGCTCTGGAGGATTATATCCATACATCTAGCTCAATAATTTTATAGTTATAGAAATCACTATGAATTCCATATGAAAGGAATAACGAGCATACATTTAGGATCTCCACTTCTCAACCTAGTAACAATTAATTAAATAAGGCAATCTATCCCTAGCTAACACAATACTTGGATCATAAACTGAAACATCATGTAGCTAAAAAAATCGTTAGAACACCATAAAAACATTCTTTGCATTATCAAATGGATCATTCACCATCCATATACACTCATGTCCTACGGTACATGTGCAAGTCTCCTTTAAGCATTATTTTCGAATTATTGCCGAACTCAAGCAAATGAAACCATGATTTTTTTTTCATTTTATTGAGCCTCGTACAAGTAATATCAACCATATTTAGTAACAATGCAACACTCCAAGACATTTAAATGGTCAAATCAATCAATTTTAACAAAATCACCTAGTCCAGTAAATTTCTGCACAAGTAAATCGTGCTTAATTGACATAGTTCAAGAAATGAATAGGCTATCTATTTAATCAAACAACAAACAACTACAAGTTTATCAACTAACCAAATATAAATTAATCAAGATTGCAAAAAATTCTATTCAATAAAATAATCAACTAGAAAGCAATGCCAACATAGATCAATCAACCACTATGACCAACATCCATAGCTCCAAAGAAAAATCAAAGAAAATTAACTTTTCAAAATTTTAAGACTCCATTTATAGCATTAAAATTCAATGAACGGAAAATCTTCCACATAATTCTGATTTATAAATATATTTTATCTATTATTTTTACTTGATGACCAAGACAATCAAAAGAGGAAGAAATGATGTACAGTAACTCAACCAAAAAAAAAATGTTAATGAGAAATAAGTAAGAATCTAATCGAGAGAGAGAAAAAGAGGCAACAAAGTGGCGATTGACGATCTACAATGGAGATTCTGACAGTTGGAGTAGTGTCAAGTAATGACGAGAGGAAAGAAATTTTTAGGGCTACAAAAGTAAAGTGAATAAGAGGAAGTGGGTGAGCTTGGAAGAGTTCTATGGTTTTTGAATATTAGGGTTGGGTCCGGTCGGCTTTCATGTGTAAAGTTAGTATTTAATGTGAATTGACATTAATACTTTTTGAAATAAGTAGTATAGATGTTGTGTCAAAATTTTATTGGTCGATACTTTTTAATTACATAAAAAATTTTGTTTACTATGAAATTATAAATTACTAACGAGGGTATTTTCGTTTACATTATTGAATAAAATTTGAACGTTTTTACAAATGATAATGTGAAAGTGGTCATTTCTTTTAAATTTTTTAAGCTTTCAATTGTCATAAAACTAGCTATTGAATATTAATTTCTAATAAATGAATTTATTCCAGAAAATGAAGAGATCTCAGCCACAAAAACTCGTCGTTCGTATTCGTTGTCTGTATTCCTTTTCCACCTGAAAAATCTTCTATCAATTCGCCAAAACCATTTCTTCGTAAATCGAAATAAAACATATTTTACCTCAAATTATATCTCGTTTTACCCAATACATACAATCAAGAGAAAGAGAGCAGAAGAAGATCAGCCAAAACCAGAGAGTAAGCAACAGAAGAAAAATGGCAACGATTTCTAGCTTTTCGACATTACGAAAGGTGCAATATTTTTATGAACTATAATTGTTTCTAAGTTTGAATTATAATTTGTTAATTTTTTTGACATTGTTGAATTATTGAATTTTACTGGTGATTTTTGGTTGGCATATACAGACGCCCCAAATTCAATGCAGAAAAAAAGAGAAAGAGAGAGGGGGTCAAAACAATTACCCCTATAAAGTCATTGAAATTACTCCTCCACCAAAGAATCTTGGCATTCGTTGCTTTCCCTCTGTGAGCTATAATTCTTTATAATGTTATTTTACCCGTTTCTTGTTCTTCTTTGTGCTTAGTTGCTGAGAGGAAATGCTTTTAAGCACAGTCAAACGTGCTGTGAATTTGTGAGAATGAATAGCTTCATAAGTGAATTCATTGTTTGAGAATTGGGATCAAATAATTTGATATAAAAGAGGAGAAATGAAATTAAAATTGTTGTAGTTCTAACTGATTTTTTAGCTGTTTAATGATTTTCTGTTGCAAAACTACTTAAGTATTTTAGTCAATATTCGTGGTTAATGCTTACATATGCTTGGCAAGACATGTTATGGATTAAGCACTAATCTAAATTACATGAGCAGTAACCAGCAAAACTAAAGGAGGAAAAGGCAAACCAAAATCTACAGAGTTACTGCAGTTCACTGTCAATATGAAGACTTTGTCAACTCATTGTAGCTGGTTTTCCTATTACAAAGAAGAAAGTTATAATGGGGATCTAAAAATGGCCACCTAAAAAAATGTTTATAAATAATTAAGGAATATTTGGTCGATCCCGCATAGATGAACAATATGATTAAGTTCACACACCATATATTGAACTAAATTGAAATGTTGGCCAGTTCTGGGCTGAAATAGGCATACTTTCTCGTAAAAAATTATGACTGGATTACTAGCTGCAATTTGAAATGTTACTCTGATGAAGTATTGTGTTCTCAGTCTAATTGATATCTAATGCATTACATGATCTTTTCATGCCTATGCAAGAAAAGGGAAAGAATTGGACTAGGTTGAGAAGTTGAAATAAACAAACAAATTTATTCATGCTACAATAGATAAGTTCTTAAGAAACCATTTTTCAGTAGTGCCTCGATATGAGATGTCGACGATGATCAAGTGTATGGGATGAAATCTTATTAGGATATCTAAAATATCTGTAATTGAAGAGTGGCGATTCTAATATTCTAATGAACGATTCATGAATATGGATGACGAATCAAAAAATTCTATACAATTCTGAAAAACGGAAAGATAGTAGAGTTTATTAGAAGGTTATTCCCTTGACTTCTATTTTACACAAATATGTGATAGACCCCCAATCCATAGACGGCATAATTCCAGCACCAATTACATAATCCCATAATCAGTTACTTAATTTCAGCAGCACCAATTATTCAATTACAGCAATAATTGGGGAGGAAAATCACATATAAATAAGGGGAATCAGCACGTTACCATGATCCAGAAAAGTGGGAGATTCCTCGGAGAGCGTGGACCTCTCGAATGTCTATTGATCTTATTAATTTTTCTTTTTATTATTGAATAAAGAATCTGCTTATCTTATAGTAGATTCACTCTTTTGTAATCTCCGTTTATCAATGGAAATTCTCATAATAAAATTCTTGGAGCTATCATTGGTATCAGAGCCATTACGATCGGGATGGTGAATTTATCAGATTGTGTGTGAGAGTTGGAAGGGGTTCACCAAAAATTGCAAAGCCAGATGGAGGAGATGCAGACTGGGATCGATAGGATGCAGATAGAAATGCAAAGGGTGCAGAATGTTGAAAAAAATATGGAATTAATTATGGAGCAGTTCACCTTCATGAGATTGAAATGGGAAGAAGCGGAAAGAGAGAAAAAATGTATGGGGCGAGGAGGTAAGGGTTCGGAGTATGCTCTACCGTTCAAAAATTTGTCTGGAGTCGAGGCGAGCAGTCGGGTCAACACTGGAGGCTCAGGTGAACACTGGAACCCGAAATCAAAGCGAGGCGACTGGAGATGCCGATTTTCATGGGACAAAATCCAGATGACTGGATCTTCAAGGCCGAGCGGTACTTCTTGGTGAACCAATTAACAGATGCAGAGAAATTAGAGTCAGCCGAACTATGCTTCGAAGGAGATGCGCTCGCTTGGTTCCAATGGGAGCAGAGAAGGAGGAGCATAAAAAATTGGGAATCGCTCAAGATGCTGCTGCGGGCTCGATTTCGGTCTTCACTGGAAGGCTTCATGGAAGAACGCTTCCTGGCGCTCCGACAAGAGAAGTCGGTGAGAGAGTATAGNTGCCGAGTTAGTACAAAAGCTGGGATTACCAAGAACTGATACAACTGGATATGGGGTGATCATGGGCACTGGTATGGCAGTGCAAGGTGCCAAGGTATGCAAGGGAGTGCAATTATCCCTCCAAAACATTGAAGTAGTGGAAGAATTTCTTCTCTTGGATTTGGGGAGCTCCGATGTGATTTTAGGGATGAAGTGGCTATCATCATTGGGGCCGACCAAGGTTGACTGGAAAACTCTCACGATGAAATTCCAGATTAGTGGTACTACCATGACCTGGATATGGGGTGATCATGGGCACTGGTATGGCAGTGCAAGGTGCCAAGGTATGCAAGGGAGTGCAATTATCCCTCCAAAACATTGAAGTAGTGGAAGAATTTCTTCTCTTGGATTTGGGGAGCTCCGATGTGATTTTAGGGATGAAGTGGCTATCATCATTGGGGCCGACCAAGGTTGACTGGAAAACTCTCACGATGAAATTCCAGATTAGTGGTACTACCATGAACTTGCAAGGGGATCCAAGTTTGAGTAAGACTTTAGTCACCTTGAAGGCCATGATGAAAGCATTCAAGGAAGGTGATGAGGGTGTGCTTCTTGAATTAGGTAGTATGGGGGTCGAAATTGGAAGGGGACAGAATGAGCAACTAACAGAAATTGTAGAGGTGTTGGGTGAATTTGGGGATGTTTTTGAAGAGCCTAAAGGGCTGCCACCACAACGAGACAGGGATCATGCCATCCACTTGCAACCAGGAACAGCTCCTATTAGTGTGATAGGCCATGCCGCTACCCACATGTTCAGAAAAATGAGATCGAGAAATTGGTTAAGGAGATGCTAGCGGCCGAAATTATCAGGCCAAGCACCAGTCCCTTCTCGACTCCAGTTTTATTAGTGAAGAAAAGGGATGGAAGATGGCGCTTCTGTGTAGATTATAGAGCCATAAACAAGGTGACGGTACTAGATAAGTTTCCCATTCCAATGATCGATGAATTGTTGGACGAACTACATGGAGCGACAATCTTCTCT